CTGGGGCAACAATTACTTCTGGTGATGTTGTCTGTTTGCACAATGTGGATGGAGGCTCACCAGCTTTCAATGCAGCTCAAGAGCATTGCTTTTTGAAAGTCCCATGTGGTGATGTGGCCCTTGTCGAAAAATATTTGTTCCAGGAAATTTCAAACAAACAAAATGTTTCCAAATGGACAGTGGCGGTGCCCAGAAATCCGGGTCTTGCTTCTTTACAAGAAATCTCGTGTGCTGTCACTTACAATGCTGCCAAAGGCAGGGTGACATGCCTCACCCCTGCATTCTTGCAACTTTGAAGGGACATGCAATTTCCATCCACAGCAAATGTCTTTGGAAAACAAGCTTCGGTGGTATGCACAACAGCCGCAACGTTTTATTTTTACTAATCTTTCTGAAGCCTGCTGCAAAGCCAACGCTGGAAACACTTCAGCTGGGTTTCCGTGAGTTAAATGGCCACAAATCCTGTTGAACTTCACCTCACTCTGCACCAAAGCCTCCCGGAACCTTCTCCGGAACCTTCACCAGAACCCTGTTGAACCTAACCTGGCTCTGCACCAAAGCCTCCCGGAACCTTCTCCGGAAACCCGGAGCCCTGTTGAGCCTGCCCTGGCTCTGCACCAAAGCCTCCCGGAACTTTATCCGGAACCCTGTTGAACCTACCAAAAGGCTCTGGAGGATTAAAAGGATTAAAAGGATTAAATCATTTAATCCTTTTAATCATTTTAATCCTTTTAATCCTCCAAACCTCCCCGAATCCCGAGAAAAGCCCCGCACTTTAATTCTTTAAATCCTTTTAATCCTTTTATTCCTTTTAATCCTTTTAATCCTCCAAACCTCCCCGAATCCCGAGAAAAGCCCCGCACTTTAATTCTTTAAATCCTTTTAATCCTTTTAATCCTCCAAAAGGCTCTGGAGGCTTAAAAGGATTAAAAGGATTAAAAGGATTAAATCATTTAATCCGTTTAATCCTTTTAATCCCCAAAGGGCTCTGGAGGATTAAAAGGATTAAATGGATTTAAATATATTTCTCAAGGGCTTGGACCGGGAATTCCGGACCCCCTGGAGGATTAAAAGGATTAAAAGGATTAAAAGAATTAAATCATTTAATCCTTTTAATCCTTTTAATCCACCAAAAAGGCTCTGGAGGATTAAAAGGATTAAAAGGATTAAATGATTTAATCCTTTTAATCCTTTTAATCCCCCCGTGCCTTTTGGAGGATTAAAAGGATTAAAAGGATTAAATGCTTGGTCCTCACATTGGGGTTCTGGGGGCTCTGGAGGATTAAAAGGATTAAAAGGATTAAAGGGATTAAAAGGATTAAATGATTTAATCCTTTTAATCCTTTTAATCCCCCAAAAGCTCTGGAGGATTAAAAGGATTAAAAGATTAAATGCTTGGTCCTCACATTGGGGTTCTGGGGGCTCTGGAGGATTAAAAGGATTAAAAGGATTAAATCATTTAATCCTTTTATTCCTTTTAATCCACCAAAAGCCTCTGGAGGACTAAAAGGATTAAAAGGATTAAATGCTTGGTCTTCACATTGGGGTTCTGGGGGCTCTGGAGGATTAAAAGGATTAAAAGGATTAAATCATTTAATCCTTTTAATCCTTTTAATCCTCCAAAGCCTCTGGAGGATTAAAAGGATTAAAAGGATTAAATGCTTGGTCCTCACATTGGGGTTCTGGGGGCTCTGGAGGATTAAAAGGATTAAAAGGATTAAATCATTTAATCCTTTTAATCCTTTTAATCCCCCAAAAGCTCTGGAGGATTAAAAGGATTAAAAGGATTAAATCATTTAATCCTTTTAATCCATTTAATCCCCCAAAGGGGCTGGAGGATTAAAAGGATTAAAAGAATTAAATCATTTAATCCTTTTAATCCGTTTAATCCCCCAAAAGCTCTGGAGGATTAAAAGGATTAAAAAGATTAAATTATTTAATCCTTTTAATCCTTTTAATCCCCCAGAGATCTGGAGTCTAAGGCCCAAGCATTGGATCAAATGATCTAATCCTTTTAATCCTTTTAATCCCCCAAAGCCTCTGGAGGATTAAAAGGATTAAAAGGATTAAATGCGTGGTCCTCACATTGGGGTTCTGGGGGCTCTGGAGGATTAAAATGATTAAAAGGATTAAAAGGATTAAAAGGATTAAATGATTTAATCCTTTTAATCCTTTTAATCCCCCAAAGGCTCTGGAGGATTAAAAGGATTAAAAGGATTAAATCATTTAATCCTTTTAATCCATTTAATCCCCCAAAGGCTCTGGAGGATTAAAAGGATTAAAAGGATTAAATCATTTAATCCTTTTAATCCTGTTAATCCTTTTAATCCTTTTAATCCTCCAGAGCCCCCAGAACCCCAATGTGAGGACCAAGCATTTAATCCGTTTAATCCTTTTAATCCTCCAGAGGCTTTGGAGGATTAAAAGGATTAAAAGGATTACATGATTTAATCCGTTTAATCCTTTTAATCCCCCAAAGGCTCTGGAGGATTAAAAGGATTAAAAGGATTAAATGATTTAATCCTTTTAATCCGTTTAATCCCCCAAAGGCTCTGCAGGATTAAAAGGATTAAAAGGATTAAATCATTTAATCCTTTTATTCCTTTTAATCCACCAAAAGGCTCTGGAGGATTAAAAGGATTAAAAGGATTAAATCATTTAATCCTTTTAATCCTTTTAATCCTCCAAAAGGCACGGGGGGGATTAAAAGGATTAAAAGGATAAAATCATTTAATCCTTTTAATCCTTTTAATCCTCCAAAGCCTCTGGAGGACTAAAAGGATTAAAAGGATTAAATGCTTGGTCCTCACATTGGGGTTCTGGGGGCTCTGGAGGATTAAAAAGATTAAAAGGATTAAAGGGATTAAAAGGATTAAATGATTTAATCCTTTTAATCCTTTTAATCCTCCAAAGCCTCTGGAGGACTAAAAGGATTAAATGCTTGGTCCTCACATTGGGGTTCTGGGGGCTCTGGAGGATTAAAAGGATTAAAAGGATTAAAGGGATTAAAAGGATTAAATGATTTAATCATTTTAATCCTTTTAATCCCCTAAAAGCTCTGGAGGATTAAAAGGATTAAAAGGATTAAATCATTTAATCCCTTTTAATCCTCCAAAGCCTCTGGAGGACTAAAAGGATTAAAAGGATTAAATGCTTGGTCCTCACATTGGGGTTCTGGGGGCTCTGGAGGATTAAAAGGATTAAAAGGATTAAAGGGATTAAAAGGATTAAATGACTTAATCCTTTTAATCCTTTTAATCCCCCAAAAGCTCTGGAGGATTAAAAGGATTAAAAGGATTAAATCATTTAATCCTTTTAATCCATTTAATCCCCCAAAGGCTCTGGAGGATTAAAAGGATTAAAAGGATTTAATCATTTAATCCTTTTAATCCTTTTAATCCTTTTAATCCTTTTAATCCCCCAGAGATCTGGAGTCTAAGGCCCAAGCATTGGATTAAATGATTTAATCCTTTTAATCCTTTTAATCCTCCAGAGCCCCCAGAACCCCAATGTGAGGACCAAGCATTTAATCCGTTTAATCCTTTTAATCCTCCAGAGGCTTTGGAGGATTAAAAGGATTAAATGATTTAATCCTTTTAATCCGTTGAATCCCCCAAAGGCTCTGGAGGATTAAAAGGATTAAATCATTTAATTCTTTAAATCCTCTCAATTTTCCAAAAAGCTTTAAAATTTATCATAATTAACCGGAACAAAATGGTACCTAAAGGTCTCTCGATCATATATATATATATGTATCTCTTTTATATTTCAACCATCCCCCCATTTTTTCGCCATCCACCGATGTTTTCGTCAAGGTTGCACGGCGTTTTGCTGCAGCTGCTGGGGTTGCTCGATGAGGAGCCGGAGTGAGGGAAGCACCAACATGCTGCGGAGGTCGGCTTCGGCTTCGGCATTTTCTACAGTTCTATATTGTTCTGTGTTGCTATACAAAGATTGGATGATTGATGGGGCCTTAAGCTACGAAATTCCGGGTAAAGTATATCCAGCAGTTGACCCCTAGGAAGCCGCAAGATGTCCATTGGTCTAAATGATCTAAATGGTCATTCTTGAAGTTTGATGATCAACCGATGGAATAAACTCTTGATACATATATATATATACATGTATGTATAGTATATAAATACATATATATATATATGTATATATATACATATATACATATACATATAAATATGTATATATATGTGTGTATGTACATGTATAAACATATATATATATGTACATGTAAACATATATATATATACATATATATATATACATATATACATATATATATACATATATATATATACATATATATACATATGTATATATACATAGATATATATATATATATACATATGTTTATATATACATATATGTATACATGTGTATATATTTACATATATATATACATATGTTTTTATATACATACATATATTTATATATATATATTTACATATTTACATATATATATACATATTTATTTACATATACATATATATATATGTGTGTATATATACACACATGTATATATACACATATGTATATATACACGTGTGTTGAATTGTCATGACATTTATCTCCCACCTCTAAATGGTTTTGTCCACTGATTCCTTTAAGCACAGACCTTCGCTGCAGATTGCGAAAGCATTTTCGTTCACAATTTCTCCCAGGCGTTTCAATTCGAAGCCCAACTGAGAGTGTCAAGATTGAGACCCAAAAATGCAGTGGGTCCGAAAAACAATAGGTATTCCAAGATTCCCTACATCTTTTCCTGGTGATTCACGTTTCTATCTGTTTTGGGGATGATCAATAAAATGAAGATATCAGCCGCAAAGTATGGTGTTCATCACCGAAAAAAAACGTCCAGGTGAATGATAATGAGCTCACAGCGTCTTTACACCAAATCGAATACATGGGGAACCGCTAGCCAGACACCTTTAAGTCATCCTCCCGAAGCTTCACGAGAACCGTGGATGGTTGACTCCCCACGAGCCATGGCTTCGTCCAAGGACTTGGGCACCATGGTGTATCCAAATCCACTGCACCATATTCCCTAAAATTGCCCAGTCAAAGGGCTTAAGATCCGTTAAGAGCCCATTTTCTCACAGCTCGATGTTTGACCCGAGTTTGGGTCACTACTTGAAGCTCCAATCCCAATCCCCAAGACCCTGACTGGTGCGTGCCAAAGGCAGCGCGCATGGCGAAAAAATTAGAGATCGAGGGACTGGGTAGATAGAAACAGGTTTCGGGATAGCGTTTGGGAATTTAACATCGCTACGGATTTTTTCCCAAGTTTAGAGATGATTGACCTCTCAAAAGCCGTGTTTTTCCATAGCTGTCTTAAATTACCAGATGGTAGTTCAGCAACCTCGGGACAGTCGGGAACAACCGCCAAGCAGGGGAGTTCAACCAACAGCAAAAAAAGATAGAGAAAAGTTTATCCTATGTTCATGGTAGCGTTCTATCTTTTTAGGGGAGCCCCCATAGGCTAAGATACTGGTTTGATGAAAACTGGGCCACTGAGAAGTCCCCGTTGTTTGCAGAGTTTTCGTCCAGCAAAGAGAGTATTCAATACAGAACAAAGAAAGAAACCTTGCTTTAGTCAATGGGAATTCCAGGATACCTTGCTTTATATAGGCCTTATATATGGTAGGTACCTCCATTTTAGGTTCCTGAAATTCCCATTGATTTAGTATGTATTGGAATCTATTGATTTTGGGGTCTCACAAATTTGGAGGCATTCAATAAAACAAACCGGGTTGGCATTACTTTAGATCAAAGTCCGCAGTGTCCAATGTCCAAGCACACTGGTGCAAAGGCGTTCACCAGTAGGTGGTCCGAGCACGGCACCTAGAACCTCTCAAATGAAGGTAAACAAGGGGATAAATGGTGGTTTCCAAAAATGAGGGATCCCCAAGTCACCATGCGTTTCAATACATGGTCTAATGACTTGGATGATATGGGGGTACCTCCAAATTAGGAAACCTCTAAATCCCAAAAATGGCCTGCAACTCGGTTTTGGAGTGATTGTAGATTATCCAGAACCACAGATGTAGATGGCCATAGATAGGCTAGCAGCAATGACAAGGAATCTCTCATACAATCGTACAGTCATTCGACTTGAGATTCGGCTCAAATTTCAAGATGCCCACCCCAAGCAGGCCACCCCTGTGTGGTTGATGATTTCAAACATGTGATTGATGTGGTAAAGCCAATCCTCAATCTCCAAGCTGCTACACCATTTCTGAGTTTAGCACCTCCACCTCCAAACATCGATGTTCACCCAAATGGAGGTTTAATGGTGGTACCCCCAAGTCACAATGGGTTTCAAGACTAAGATGCTCTAACGACTGGATGATTTGGGGATACCCTAGCTCAATCTTGGATGGGTAGAAACTAATCCTTTAGTCTTTTGGTATCAATGGGATTGTCTTCTAACCAGCTAAGAATTTATTTTTTTGCAGGGCATCTAAGATTGGCCATGCAGCCCCATGACTTTTGAAACCTCCAAGCGATGCTTTCACAAAACTGGGTCCCGTGGGGTCTGCCATGCACGCCAAAACTGGGTCTGCGGCGAGCTCTGCCAGAGGCGGGGTAGATTGAAAGTGTTGGAATCGCACGGTTATAGATGGAGGTTTCCACAAATGAAGGATCCCCAAGCTCGCTAGATGGTCAATGTCCACCATGGAAAATCCCAAAATAAAATGGATGATTTAGGGGTGCCCCCATTTTAGGAAAATTCCAAGAATGGCCACTGAAATATAGGCCGCTGAACCATGTTCCACCTACTTGTTCAACATAGAGTACTGAATCCAGTAGCTGAGATGCACGTCCGGTTCCTGGATGAAGTTTTGGCGGGCTGCTGAGGTCTATGGCTGGGAAATCATCTATAAATTGAGGTTTGAATGGGAAAGCCTACTAGAAATGGAGAGGTTTAAAATGTATGGATGATTTTCCATTGCTCATTGCTATGTTTGATTAGTATGTCATATCCGAAAATGGACTTCTTCAAGGTGTATCTCAGCTTAGCCATCACCATAGTTGATTAGATCCCCCTGATCCATGGTCCCCCTGTTGCATGGTGGGACAGCCGCGGACGCTTTTGGGGAGTCAAGAGAAACACGGTTTGCTGTACTTGGTTCCTTTTTGTGCTGCGGCAAAAAGAAATCTGCATAGAAGATGTGTTCTGTTGAGATAGATTCCTTCCTTGCTTTCTGTGTGTCGTTTGTTCCAACAAAGACCAGCCCTCCCCTTGTTGTTCAGTTATATTACAATGTTTGTTGGTTTATGGCCCAACTTTTGTGGTAACTCACCCTTTTGGCCTGGTAAATCACTAGTTTGCTTGGTTCGAACCTAAGTTCTTGTTGGTAAAATCGCTGAGGTTTGTTGATCACATATCCATGTTTTTCCTTAAATTGAGTGGATAAATAACATAATAACCATATTCACTGGTTTACATCCTATTATTCGTTCTTAACTATCCATAACTATCCATCACTGCCTTGGCCCTGCGCAGGGTGATCTTGCTGGGCGAGTGCGAGTGGATGATGGGCCCGATGGACTGGCGCTGATCGTAGATGAGACACTGGGCATTGAATCGTTGAAGACGTTGTAGACGTCGTGGGCGAAAGATCTCTAGAAATATGCTCATCCCATCCCCATTATCTGACTATAATATGATCAGATCTATCCCCCTAATATATGAATATGATTCTAATATGATCAATGAATCAATGATCAACAGATGATCAACAAGTATGATCCATATGCGTTGAAAGATCCATATGATTATAATATGTTCAGATCTCTAGAAATATGGTGATTAAATTCTCAAGACATGATCAACAAATCTGGTGTCATCATTGATGCTTGTTGATTTTGGATGATTTTGCCGGGCATATCAATTATCCCATCCCATCCTAATATGATCCATGATCAAGGAATTATCAACAAGTATGATCAATATCATCCATTATCCCATCCCGTTGAGATTATCAAGTATCAATTACCCCTTTTCTTGATCGGTCAACAAATATCATCAATTATGCAGGCTGCCCGTGGGCATGTTCAAAGATACCCTCTGCAGGTGGATACACCAGTTTCTGGGAACTTCACGGGGAGTTTCGGTCTTTGTTCAGACGGGTGTATCAATACAATGGCCATGCTTTGTAGGTAAAATGAATTCTAAACCATTTGTTGTTTGTGTTTTCCCAACATGCTCAGACAAGCCCATATGTGTACATATATATAATTATATATATATATTGGTTATAGACCCCATTCAAAATCCCATTCAAGACCCTATATCCGTGTAGTTGCTGGCTGGTTTAATCCCAGGACTGTCGCATCCCTGTCCTCCAAGGAGACCAATCGGTTTCTCGGAGGGTACCAGGGAAACCAACTCAATGGGTTGCCTGGTTGTTTCCTCTTTTTTCATATAGTAGATATATATATATATGCATATATATATATATGCATATACACATACATACTAACCAGCTCAGACTTCTTGTTGCAGGGTACTGCGACTAAGATTGGCTGTGGTTCGGGTTTCCAGTGTAGATGGAGCAACTGTGTCACCCCATAGAGCTGATAGAGGTCTCCCTGCGAGTCACGTGGTTCAAATCTTGTCTTTTTCCTCAGTGCTGTTCTGCTATGATAAAGGGCTATACATATACACATAGAGAGAGAGAGAGATACATGTGTATATATATATATACGTGTATACATATGTATTATATATATATATATTTAGATATAGAGATAAATATAGACATATATATATATATTCTGAATATGATCAAACTAGGGGGTATATAATCGCAATTATGGCTAAGATGTTTAAGACTGTTTAAGGCTTCACTTGAAACCGCCAATGGCAATTTGGTGCTGATTCTCCCCATTTGTTGCTCAGGATTCCCTTTATACTCCACAATATATACTGGTTGGTGGTTTCAAACATGAATTTTATTTTCCACAATATATGAGATAATCCTTCCCATTGACTTTCATATTTTTCAAGATGGTTAAAACCACCAACCAGTATATATATATAATTACATATATTGTCCATTTATCCCTACAATATCCACTATCCTCACATATCTCCTCTTTCTTTTGTCTTAAAAAGTGAGCATTTCCCATTAAAAAAAAAAGTTTCTCAAGCATTTATCCCGTTGATTTCCCCATGATCTCCTCATTTCGACCAGCTCTGAGGTCTGCCTTGGTTTGGGATGCCTTAGCCTTGCCAGTCCTGGCAACTACAGAGAGGTGGGGGTACGTAACGTAAACCCAAAGTCATACATCCTGCAGGGTGGTGCCCTAGTTCGGAATCGCTAAGTTGGTGCAAGGAACGCCAATTTCACTATGGTTTATGGTAGATAGATCGAACTACTTACTATGGTTTATAAGCCACTTAGCTAACGAACTGGGGCACCACCTTGTACATCCTGGTCTGGCGTGATAAACGGTATATTTTTGTGTGATAGGAAAGTCACCGTTGTTAATTAGATAAATCTTCATAAATCAATATAAATCATCGATTTCTATGGGCAATTGTCCATAGCGTTGTTAAATAACCAGATGGTATTTTAATGATTGGAACATGAATGGGATATGAACAAGCATGGTCAATTACGAATGGGATAGGAAAACATGATATCACCAGGATATTCATGTTTGAACATGTCTTTTTTATAGCCCTTATTGGTGGATGGTTGGAAATGAAGGGCTTCATGGCCACTTTTTTAGGATTCCCCTTGAGGGACGACGTGTTGACCATGACACATGTAACCTGGTTTGGTTGAAGATGGGGAATCCAGCAGTCAAACATGTGGAAATGTTGTTAAATGTTGGATATCACCAGCAGAAAGATCGGGAAGTGACTGGGTACACCAGGGTATACGAGTACTGAACAGTTCAGTACTTCAATATTCTGCCATGAATGTGCTAGATCCACCTGCTGTGGATAATTTTTTTGAGGATCCTTATTCCATCCACCGGTGGATCATTAGTTTCCATATATAAAATGGCCATACATGGAGGAAGGATACATCATTTTTGGAGAAACCATATCTTTGGCTGTATATCCCAGTGTATGTAGATGTTTTCTCCAAAGATCTTTTCATGGAGATCCAACTAAGTTACTATCTCCAAATTACTTCCCCACACTCTTTGGCTTCCCTTGCCGCTGTAACTTATTGCGCAATCCCCTGTTAAAACAGTATGTTTTTCTATGTTGTACATTCTCGCCAGAAAACTTGATTTTAGACACCCGATTTTTCCACCTGTTTGCATCATTGTTGGGTGATATACACCGAGGATGATTCTATCGAGATGGTACAACATGTATCTGGTTGGTTGTATTACCCTCTGGTAAACGTTTACGTGCCTATGGAAAATTACCATTTTTAATAGGTAAATCAACTATTTCTATGGCCATTTTCAATACCTATGTTTGTTTACCACAGGGTACCAAAAGTTCTCGATAATGTACCATGAATCACGAGTACGATGGGCACCAACTATTCACGATTGGTTGTATTACCAATAATTCACCATGTATTACCAATATTTACCAATAATTTACCACAATTGCCATATTTCGCCGATAATATTCACTGCGGGTTAAAAAGGTCAGTATATGGCATTATCCATTTAAATTCTACCAGAATATATTTATATATCATGAATATGATGCATCAACATTAATTCGACGCCATAATTCAGTACATCAACCATAGATTAACCATAGATTAACCATAAATATCAATGGTTAATACCATAAATACCATATAAATTGACCATAGATTAACCGTAGATTACATACATTGACCATAAATAACACTGGTTGGTGGTTTGGAACATGAATTTTAGTTTTCCATTCAGTTGGGAATTTCATCATCCCAACTGACGAAGTCATATTTTTCAAAGGGGTTTCGTAGGTCAACCACCAACCAGATAATATGATAAGATCTATCGCCCTATTTTTGAATATGATTCTAAAATGACCAAAAACCAACCAGATGATGATGTTGGGTGTTTGATTATATTGGGATAATACTCATTGGGATATAAAGGGATGTTGATTTCATTGGGATACTATCATACTTCATTGGGAAAACCAGATGATAATTAGTGACGAAATCACATATCCATAATCATAATTGGGTCAACATCACTAATATCACACAAAATTGGGTCAACATCACTAATAACCCACTAATTGGGATGATAAATGGATATTAGTGTGTATAATCAATGTATAATTAGTGATGTATAATGGATGATTAACGGAGGATTAATCAATGGATATTAGTGAAACCACCAACCATCAACCATAGATTAAACCATAGATTAACCATAAATATCCATGGTTAGCACCATAAATACCATATAAATTGACCATAACATGATTCCCATCCCGTCCAGGCCTTCGGTGTTGATCTTGGGCCTGGGGGGCGGCACAGCTGCGCGGGCGCTGAGGCGCCTGAGACCCGAGGCGTCGGGAGGCGTCGGGAGTGGGGAGCTATCGAAACTCTGGGGCATATATACAGTGGATTACCCTCGGGTTTAAAACATATGTAAACATAGAAAAATATGATAATGCCCCAGAAATATAGGGTAATCCACTGTATATATGGTGTTTACTCTTCCATTTAAACATAGAAAAAGCGATGGAAAATGGTGATTTAATGGGATGTTTTATGGGATTTACCCTCGGGTAAACTAACAGTTTGCTATTGACAATGGCCACAGAAATAGTGGATTTATCCAGCTAAATAGCATGGTGATTTTCCATAACAAAATGTTAGTTTGCTTGAGGTATCCAATATATCATGGGGTATAACCAAGCAATATATGTGTATATATATATTGGTAAGAACTAAATGACTAACCAATAGGTTCTATAAATCTACACCATATTAACTATAATGGTTATATACTGGTTATAAATGAACAGTTCGACCCTGCCAGATAGGGGAAGATTAGTTTCAACGAGAAATTGATGATTTTCAGGGTCTATGTTAATTTACCAGAGGGTAATGACTAGCCAATATGTAATGGGATATAGCTAGCCAATAGGGTTATATGTTTTGATGACTATATTAGCCCACTTAACATGTGTTTTATTAATAGAAAGTGGTTTTTGGATGGATGATCACATCTATAATCACATGTTAAGAATCGATCTTAATAAGTACGATTTAATGGGCGGATTCTTCAAATGTGGCTTATAAATAGCAGGTTTAATAACCGTCGATAGATGTTCTTAACCACTTTTCTATCAATGGGTTTTCATCATCTACAAACGGATTGCTAACCAAACTTGGAGGAATACCCCATTTCATAAGTGGTTAATAGCCATAATTAACAATCATTTATAGATGTGATGACCCAGGGAACTTACTAACCAGGTTTGCGTTCACCAGTTGCGAGGACCATGGGATGATCCCCCAAGTAGGGTTTAATCATCAAAACTCAAGCTAGATCATGGAAATAGAATCGGATATCTGCTTAATTCCTAGGACATTTTCTTGTTTTTCAGTGAGTGTTTTTTTTGGAGACTGGTGGAATCGTATGGGGATATAAGAGCGATTACTAACGATACTATGGGTCTTTACAACACTGAAAACGAGTGGCTGTGCAACAAAGGGACTCGTTTACCAGCAAATCTCCGGGTACAAAACCAATAGGATGTCACCACGGCTTAACAATCATTGATGTTTTGGGATATCGTGGGATTAGTGGGGTCCAAAATGGCGGTTCTACTCGTACCATATATATATCTTCATTATATACAAAATGTGGGATTTGTTTACCAACAAAAATTGCGATTTTGGAGAGGCAAGACGATTTTTCATCATCCAAATTGCGGTTTCACCATCAGAATGAGTGAAATCATTAGTGGTATATGTCCATCCAAATTTCGAATAAAATGGAAGACTTAATGATACTTAGAACCCACCTCTCAGATATGTTCTTACAGGGGTATACTAGAACATGTTCCAAGAACATGTTTTCCTCATCAGTTTCGTGTGGCATTAGTCAAGACCGATGAAAAACCATATTTGCGACTGACCAATTTGGTATCCATGGTATAAATATGGTATACGGTATTTAATAGTGTAGTAAACTTGTACCATACAATATGCCATATTTCTGCAACTGAAATTTACCACTTGCCGAGTCTATATTTTGGTGTTTGCCAGAGCAAAAGGGCTTTGACCGATAGCCAAATGGTGGTATCAAGCATACTCTTCTATGCGGATATAATGGATATGATGGCATGTGATGGAACATAACAGTGGAATATACAGTTTTTGAAGCGGAAAATTTTGGGAACATGGGGAATTGAACAGCAAGAATCTTGATATACAACCCTAACCGAGAGATTATGAAATACAGTGGGATAGGATTCTTTAAGAAGATAGCCAGTTTACCCTCCATCAACTGGGTCTCAACCCCTGCGACAAAAGAATTAGCAGTTCATCCGATTCGGACCGATCGCCGCAAGTTTCACTGTTACATAACACGGGTTTAATCCCATAGGAATGAAACAAAAAATGAATCCATTGACTGGAAATTGTGAAAAGCCAATAACTGGTTGGTAGTTTGGAACATGAATGTTATTTTTCCATTCAGTTGGGAATTTCATCATCCCAACTGACTCACATTTTTCAGAGGGGGTAGGTATACCACCAACCAGAATCCATTCACTGGAACTTGTGAAAACCCAGCTGAATATCTTGGTCTTTAAATTATCATTTTGAAACCAGCTGAGCCAACTAACAAAATCCGAATATTTTGGACAGCTGCACCCTGAGCCCGGACACCATACAGTGTCGATTTCACCGGCGACTGAATGCTGCCGGGCTTGGTGAAATTGGCCGGGTTTGTTGGCTCAATCCTTTGAAATCTCCATGCTTTCGAATTTGATGTTTAAAAATTCGACCCCTAATTTTTGCTGGCTAAAAAACGATTAAAATCCCTGCTTTTGGTTAGCTGAGTCATGCAAGAAATGGCCTTCATTCTGCTTTTTCCGTCGCCAGGCGCAAATCGTTGGAGTCGAGTTGGATGCTGAGGCATCAGCTGGGGTGGGAAGAAAAAAGTGGGTCCTTCATGGGATGACATCATGGTGATTATCATGGGGATTTGGTGGGATATGTATGCCATAGACCATATACCCTCTGGTAAACAAACATAGCTATTGAAAATTACCCATTTGTTGATTTACCCATTGACAACGGTGATTTTCCATTGTTATGTTAGTTTACCAGAGGGTAGTTGCTGGTTTTTCTTTCTGGACCAAGACACATTGTGCCATCAAGCACTAGTTTGCCATTAATAACGCGTGGTTAGCCGTGTTCTCCAATGATCCTTTTGGTTGGCTATATCACCATAACATATGAAGGTTTCTTAAGTCATGTAGGATCCCCAAGTCAGCATAGGTTTCAATCCTAAGTCATGGTCATCCATGACGACTGGATGATGACTGGGGGTACCCCAGCCACTGTTAGTATCTCTATGGATTTTTCTATGGATTGTTCTGAATTATCTCTATTCATATCTCTAGATGGATTATTCTCAGAACAAACCATTGAGAACAATCCATAGATAACCCCAACTGAAACAATATCTCTATGGATATTGATATCCCCAATATCAAAACAATCCCATCCCCCTGATATTAAACAATCCAGGGAAATATAAAATCGAATATATTGGGGATAAACCTGGGAGATGTAAATGGGAATGATCATAAACATGGATGAACATACAGATACTGAGTTACTCATCCCATCCCCGGTTCATATCAAACACCCTCATTTTATGGTCCCAAACTATGTGGTTCCATCCCCTATTCTATAAATGAAGCAGGGTTTCTGGGTGGTCTTTTATATTAGCGGGATGGGATTCTGTGGATATTTCGCTGTATCTGTTTAATGATATCCAAGTTTATTTGGGTATTACCCATTATACAGATTTGGGTATAACGGTACAACTCATGTTGTATGTCCCAAATATCCAACATACTGGCTTATATCCAATGTATCAGATATCAAACCCTTAATCCAGAGCCCGGTAAGATCTTTTCAGGGCGCAATAAGAAAGGAGCGGCAAAAAAACCTGATTCGAGATCCTCCACAAATAGCCAACTCAGATGAGAATCCCAGAGTTCGTGTTTGGAAAAAGTCTTAGTAAACATTTAAACCAATATAAAGCAATATAAATCTCTTTTTGTTGGATTATCCATTTATCATAAACATGTGTAAACCTCTTTTCGTTCGAGAGTCCATGATATAAAAATCATGGCTTTCCCATCCAATCAACCCATCATCCCCACCTGGCGTCAGGTGATCCGATTGGCCAAGAAACACTTCGACTTGGACGCCTTGAAAGTTGAGGTGATCCACCAGGATGCCTTGGAGTTCTTGCGAAAGGCTGGGAAAATGACCCCAATTGGCTGCATCGGATGCTGGGGAGGTTGAAAGCACCGAAAAACATCGTCCCTGTGCGAAGATGTTCCATGTGTAGATCAACTACTTGCTAAAATCTATCGAAAATGGCCATCCTGCAGTGTCAGGTATTGTCAGAGTGTAACAAATTTCTTTAAAAATTGGTACTCAATGGGCCAAACGTATCGGGGATACCATTTCCCCTACAAAAGCCAAGAACATGTGACCCCTCCAAAATGTTTTGTAAGGCTCTATTCTGTAGGAATTACCTTGCTGTGTACTGGGCTTTTGTAGTGCAGAGGAAGTTTTGTAGACATTCCTGCCTGGTCCATGAGAACTGTTCAAATTGTATGAATCTTTAAATGGACCTACTGGGAAAACCAAGAGTCTTTTGCAATGGATAAATTGTGGCCAAATGCAATTTGTAGGTAAGCTGTGCCCCAAAAAACTGTAGCTGCAAACTGTTTTGTAGTACCACTAGGCCTAGCGTCAACCCTAGGTGAGGGAGGACAGTAGAGACCGAAAAGTGACGAGAAGCAATCCATTGCGAAGACGGTGAAAAAGACACTTGGGAAATCCTGGGGGAATGGGAGTGCTCAACAACCTCAACCTGGACAACAACGTCACACTAATTGCGTTTTTCAGACGACCTCACTTAATTTCATTTTGAATTATTGAAAATAAGGTACGGCCCAAGAAATAGCTTAAATTGGTCAGAAAAATTAAGCAAAAAAATCACCCCCAGATTCACTACAAAAATAAGCTATGCCCCAGGACCGTCCAGAAAAAAACCTTAGATTTCACTACAGAAGTTATCAACCAATATTTGAACAAGGCCTTACAAAAGTACTATATTGGAAATTTAAGGCTAATTAAAAAGAAAAAAAAACTCAAAAAAAACCTAGGCTGCAAAACCCTCATACTGTTGTAGAAGCATTTTTCCCCACATCTATGTGTGGGGTTCTTGTCTTTGGTTCTGTATCCCGCCGTCCGCCCGTCCGCCCGCCCGTCCGCCCGCCCGTCCGCCTTCCACACACAACTTGCTCACACACAACTTGTCCACACGCAACTTGCTCACACACAACTTGTCCACACACAACTTACTCACACACAACTTGCTCACACACAACTTGTCCTCACACAACTTGCTCCTTGCTCACACACAACTTGTCCAAACATAACTTGCTCACACACAACTTGTCCACACACAACTTGCTCACACATGCTCACACACAACTTGTCCACACACAACTTGCTCACACACAACTTGTCCTCACACAACTTGCCCTCACACATCTTGCTCACACACAACTTGTCCACACACAACTTGCTCACACATGCTCACACACAACTTGTCCGCACACAACTTGCTCACACACAACTTGTCCTCAAACAACTTGCTCCTTGCTCACACACAACTTGTCCTCACACAACTTACAACTTGCTCACACACAACTTGTCCACACACAACTTGCTCACACACAACTTGTCCTCGCACAACTTGCCCTCACACATCTTGCTCACACACAACTTACTCACACACAACTTGCTCACACACAACTTGTCCTCACACAACTTGCTCCTTGCTCACACACAACTTGTCCTCACACAACTTACAACTTGCTCACACACAACTTGTCCACACACAACTTGCTCACACACAACTTGCTCACACACAACTTACTCACACACAACTTGCTCACACACAACTTGCCCACACACAACTTGTCATCCCACAACGTGGCAGGCGTGGCACTTGGTGACATCCACCTTCACTTTGCGTGGCAGGCGTGGCACTTACGGCACTGGGCGGGCTCTGGTGGCGCAGCGGGTTTTCGTGGGCGCCGCGGCGTCTCGCGTGGCAGGCGTGGCACTTGGCGACATCCACCTTCGTTTTGCGTGGCAGGCGTGGCACTTCGTGACATCCACCTTCACTTTGCGTGGCAGGCGTGGCACTTACGCCGGCAATTCGCGATTGATGCTGTACAGGGGGCGAGCCCGCTGTGGTGGTCTGGCGGGACCTCCCCCCTTCGCCACAGACCCGTGGAAGAGGTATCTTCAATATCTTCTTCTTCTTCAGATGATTGGTGTCGCCAGTTCAAGTGGGTGGTGGTTTTCGGTTAAATCAACCAGGGCCAACGATAGTCCAGGATGTAAATTTAAGGCCATAAGTTTCGCACTCAACAGCAATGAAGCGGTTCCCTTGGGGCTGCGTCAAGCTGTAACCCTTTTTCTTATCCTGAATTTTGATTGCTTAGAACCCGATGTTGATTGGTTAAATCGCCATTTTTGGCGGTGATATCCCTATTTCAGCTGTTCAAACCCCCATGTGTTCTTCGTAGAATCCCATATTGTGCTGTTAAACCGCATATTTCGTACTGCAACATCCCAAAACGGATAGAAAAGTAAAAGCCCATTCATGTAGTGATCAATTACTCAATTGTTTTTGTGGCTTCTATAATCCCATACTGTGTTGGTAAAACATGCTTAAACCCTGTACTGCATTTCCTATGCCGAGATTTGAATATCTTGGCAAACCTTAGCGTTGGCAGGACCGGCGCCAGTTCGATCTGATCCTCGATGATGTCTTCGTGGGCTACGCCCGCAGCATCCACAAGCCACGCCGGGGGAGCCAAGGGGTTGCCGTTGCTTCGCGGACCATGTGCGATGTGAGGCTGATATTGTGAGATTAAGAGGAGAATATTCTGGATATTGATATTGGTTGATTTTGTGATATTGGTATTGTGAAGCATAATCAACCAGATATTGATATTCTGTGGTTGACTTATGATAAATCCTTGGCTTCTGCTGGTTTTCCCATTAGTTCTAGACAAGCCCACAATGAAGTTAACCTGGGAAAGCCAATGCTATAAACCTACCATTTGGGGATGCTCTAAATACCATCGTTGAACGGGGCTGGGCCATGGAAAAATCTCTGGAATTGACCGTCAAAACTATAGGCAGAAACCATGGCTACTAGGGGGATTTACTGGTGAAACACATAGGTGCCATGTAGAGTGTGTTCAATAGCAGCATGGGCGGGATTATGTAGCCATTGTGATGGTTTCACCAGCTGAAAGTTGCATATTACATCTTTGCTATGAGTATCCAATGTCACAAAGAAAAACTTGAACAATGATACCCCTGCACTAAATGTATGTAATGTGCCTTGGAAACCTGCCTTGGAAACCATAAACCTATCATTTGGGGATGGTCATGGCTCGGGGATCCTAAACCCCTTGCTTTCTAGGTTATTAAGCATGATAAGCATGGTTATGATCCAGCCCACTTACAAGCCAGTTGTAGCTTGCCCTGGTTTGTTTCCCATACTAGTGAGTAATTACCACAATGCAACCCAATTATAGATATGGATATAAACATATTTGTATATATATATATTAATATATGTAGAAGTATTATTACTTATTATTATGAATTAGTAGTTATTAGTTATTATTATTACTAATTATTATTATATACACCACGTGCTTTCTGGGCTATCAACCTTTACTGTGACTTCTCTCCCCATGTGTTTTGGCATAGCATTTTTGAACCAGATCCGGTTTCACCTTTTTGGGTAACCAAGACCTAAGCCACGCTTCAAGGTTGGCTTCCACGTCCCGGTTTCCGCCTGGCCAAGCGACGCCTCAAAGAAGGCCCGGATCCATGGGGGGGATGGGAAAAATGATGGGTTGATGTACTCAATACTTGGGGAGACTATATGGGTGTGTCTGAAAATACGGTATACCCCCAGATAGCTATCAAATGATAGGGAAAATGATGATAATCCAGTGGATTTAGGGGTACACTATTTTCAGACAAACCCATATTGATGTTGGGATTTTGATGAAATATTGGGATACTACTCATTGGGATTGTTTAAGGGATTTTGATTATATTGGGATACTATCATACTATCATGTACTATCATGTTGCTGTACCAAATTGTATATCTAGTATTTTAGGGTCATAGATTGGGTTGATATCCATTGTGGCGACCCCCAAGTTGAGATGCCGAAAGGTAAAATATCACTCAAATAGTGAAGAACTGATGAGGAAACATCATATAATCATTGGATTGGTTTACAGGAAAATTTACAGGAAACCCCATATTTCATGGTAAAAACCATGGTTTCCTGTAGATTGTCCCTTAAACCAATCCAATGATATAAAGATGGTGGTGATTTTTTAAGTAAGTTCCCTTCATGCTACTTGCTGACAGGTTCAGTCGTTCAGTCAGTTGGGTCAGTAGGCTCTGGACCATCCTATCCTCATCTCCATCCTATGAATGTAACTACAACTGAATGTGGCCATGAAACAGGTGAGCTTGTTCGCTGTATTAAGGTGAGCTCGCTTGCCCGTAAGAATTGATTAAAGAAATAACAACATCCTCCGTGTTATTGAAGTCTTCCAAAATCATGAGGAAAAATATGTGGAAGTTTTATTGATGTTTTTCTTCATTCTTGGAAATAGTTATATTGAAGACGGAAATGTGGATTTGTTTCCAAAATAATGGGGAAATCAAATTACACAGGCCGAGCTGCCAAGCACTGTCACAATCGGGCGTCTGAATCAGCACCAGTTGAGGAGTTTCATGCCATGCCAGGCGTGTTTTTATAATGTTCTATATATCTTTTCGGGGGTTGCTATATTATATCCTGTTAATAAAAAAAGTGAGGATAACCAATTGGGATATGATGGGTGATTTTCATGGATGATGAATGGGATCCATGATGAGATTTTCCTGTTTTTGGGGGATGGCCATCCTTTCGTTTTCATTCCGGTTACTAACTTGCGGATTTAACCATCCAAAGTGGCGATTCTTCATGGTGGCTATCAAGCGGGAAAGTATTCTCTATAGCTCCCACAATATCATTTTGGTGGCAGTATATCCAAACTATATCCCACTACATTCCCATTACCCTCTAGTAAACTAACAGTTTTCTATTGAAAATGGCCATAGAAATAGTGGATTTACCCATTAAAAATGGTGATTTTCCATAGTTACGTTAGTTTACCAGAGGGTACATCCCTAGAAAGTGGTGTGTCTGAAAATGCGGCAGCCTTAAAACACCTTTGTTTATCATGATTCTTCCCTATTAAATTGCAAGTTCAGGGGGGCCAAATATGCTAACTATGTTCCGACTATATCCCCATCATTTTCCGCTATCCAATTGTACATAGATAGGGAAAAAATTCATTACATCCCTATAAATATCCTAACTCTATCCCACGATATCCCATTGCATCCCCATATCTATATCTATATTTACAGTATATATATACATATGTATACATATATGCAGTGTATATATATATATATACCAAATTCATCCACTATATTCCATTTAAATATGTATCCTAACATTCGGATGAGTTGTATCTCCCCATTCTTTTTCGAGGTGGCGTTCTGGTCTCCAATGCCTTGGCTGAAGCAAAGTATCTGCAGCGAGGCGGGCTTTCTTCACATGCTTTGGAGGTGCCATATCTGTCAACGACAATATAATGGATTTTGATATATCTACTAATATATACAATATATGGTAGTATATATATGGTTGGTAATATATGGTAGATATAGAACAATATATGGTTGATAATGTCAACCCCGGATTTTGCTCAACCATGGTTTAGAAAAATTAGGAGGGTACCCCTCCAATAGATATACGATGTTTGTATAGTTTAAAAGATTTTTTTAAGTGTTGTCATGTTTTTAAAAAAAAAAGTATATCTGATAGTGAAAGTTAGGTCAAACTGAATCAAATAGAATCAATGTAAACCACCCGTTGGACTCTTCAGCCTCGGCGATGGCCCTGCCGCGACGCCCGGCGCTCAAAAGAAAAGGATGGAGAACTGCAGCCAAACGAAATTCTTCAATGCACTTTGGATATCAGTGTAAGCCAACCATGTTATTGCGATATAGATATGACGGAAATAACAGGAATATAATGAGATGTATAACTGTTGTATAACCCACAAAATGAAAATGAGGGATAGGTTTCATAAACGAAGCAACCCATTTTAGGGAGGAGATAGACTTGCGATAGAGGAGGATATAGTTTACACTTACTACAAAATCAGGTGTCGGGCATTCTTTTCACACTGAGCGATAGGGATCTATTCTCACATCCCACACGCATCCTCCCCCAAACTAAAACACAGATGTGTCTGAAAAATGAGATGTTCTGGCCTTTTCAACGTGGAGAATGCCAATGGATACACCATGGCTTCTTAAGAGACTAGACAAAATCAAGATTCTAGTGAATATTGGGTATATCATGTTCTGTCTTTGTCTATATTTTGAGATAAACTGCTGGATTTAGGCTTACCTTAGTCAACGGCAGTCCAGGCATGCAAGAGCTCTTTCCCGGACTCTTACGACTGCGAGTGCCAGGTTTGTTTTTTGGGTGATTGAAACTCATCCGATGGGTCGGTGGAGTGGTTGGTTTATCGAATTTTATAGATGTGTATTTAACCGTAGATTAACCATAGATTAACCATAAATATCAATGGTTAATACCATAAATACCATATAAATTGTATCTGGTTGGTCGTTTCAAACGTGTTTTATATATGGGATGTCATCCGAAACCCATTGACGAAGTCCATCATTTTTCAAGATGGTTATTGCAAAACCAACCAGGTATTTATTTAATTCAGTACATCAACCATAGATTAACCATAGATTCCATAAATTGACCATAAACAACACTGGTTGGTGGTTTGGAACATGAATTCTATTTTTCCATTCAGTTGGGAATTTCATCATCTCAACTGACGAACTCATATTATTCAGAGGGGTTGGTATGCCACCAACCAGTATAGATGTGTGTTTTCAGTAGAATGTTTGAACAACGTTGATGGACAACTACCATTGGAGTCATTTCTCTTCACTGATGCGATTGTTGAGGCAAAGTGTCTTGCTGGGAGACCCCTTCGCTTGCTGTTCGGAAGGAATTCTTGAAGACCAAGAGTGAAGCAATTACCAAACTACTCTTAGTAAAGCAATCAATCCATATTGGTGATGTGTGGCATTGCCTAACGTCTTCTTCGATGTCGGGCTACGATTTCGCCAGCGTTTGAAGGCAGTGCCCAGTTTATCCCTGTAAAACATCGGGTCTAGCTGGATTTATGGGGATTTTGGGGAAACCAACATTTTTGGGGCACTTTTTGTTAAACTTTTCATCTGGTTGGTGGTTTGGAAGATTTATTGTTTTCCATTCAGTTGGGGATAGTAACCCCAACTGACGAAGTCATATTTTCAGAGGGGTAGGTTGGAACCACCAACCAGTAATCTTTTGCTGGAAGTGGCCATATATTGATCCAACCAACTCAGTTATGTGATGTTTTTGCGTATCCAAGATTGGCCACAGATTACCCGTGACGCTTTGCAGAACCGCAATGGTGGTTTGAAGTGTCCCACTTTAGGACTTGAAAAGCATGGGAATGAACGAGATATCCTTTTATAACCATGTTTTGAACCGTTTTTAAAAATTCCTAAACACTTTATAAGCATGGTTTTGCCATGGCTGTGTGCGGCCAACTTCAGTGCTGAGTCGCCCAGCGTTTTGGATTAACACGGCAGTGGTGCGAGGGATGTGGTTCAACGGGTACATCGAGCACCCGCGCCAGCATGGAATTGTTGGCGTGACAAACTCCAACCCCAGGTGCTGTCCACCTCATGAGATACGTACACTGTCCTGAGAGGCAGCATCTCTGGAGCTGGAAATGGTCCATTTGGAGCTACAACTCTTTTTTTTTGCCAAGGCATGATATTTCCCTCGTTTTTGATCGTGGCCCAAAATTGCGGTTTTCATCGTTGCATGGATGGTTTTTTGAGTTGGTGCCTAGAATTGCATTTATGTCGTCGCTTCAATTTCCTCTCTTTGTTGGTGCAGAGCAATATATGGCTGACTACTACAATCTAGTATGGGAAATGTTCCTATCAGCCAACTAGTGCACTGGAACGAAAGAGGGTTTTTGAACACTGCTCATGGGTCTTAATTGATTATGGCTCTCAAGTTAGCAAGTGGGATGAGATCTTCCGAGCATTTCCATGGTTCTGTTGCTGTTGCCAATTTCGATGGTAACATCCCCACATTGGTTTGTCAAATCCCGATTTCCTCCTTCAAATGTTTCTCAAATCTACCCATTGACCATCCATTTCGCAATGTTCCCTTCGATCAACCCCTAATAAACACCATGTTTCGATGTGGAAATCCACCATTTTTAACTTGAACCATTTTGAAGCCATCAACTTCCACCATTTTTGGGTGAAATCCCCAGTGTTTTCCCCTTTTCGGTATGGTGAAATCCCCTCGTCCCGCGAGACTTTGAGAATCAGATTTTGGTGGCTGGACAGCTGGCTGCCTTGGAAATTCTCGAGCAGGTCGCCGCGGCGGTTTTTTTGTGCCTTTTTCAAGTGCGATTTTTTGGGCGTATCGGGTAACCATTGGGTAACACCAATTAAAAATTGGATAATCATCAACAATTGGTTAACCATTTTTTAATTGGTGTTATCCAAAAATTGTAATTGGAATCATTGAAAATCATCAACAATTGGGTAACACCAATCATAAAAATTGGGTATGCCCATTGAAAATAACCATGACATAACCATCCAAAATCAAAGAAAGCAGCAACCAGCATGGTTGATTCATGGATTGGCTGAGTCGATCATGATTTTTTTACGCATTGTCCCAGCTGGGAAATCCACATCATTTTAGAGGCATTTATAGGGAACGTAATAAATCATCATGGTGATAACCATACATACCAATGAGAACAACATGTTTATAGATATCCATGTTTTCCCGTGGATGATATCCCATGTCAGGCTTCATCGAAACAACTGAACGGCATCAAGGTAGAACGTCCAGGACATTAAGGGCTGGTTGAGTCGTTGGTTTCTTTTGACGGGCCAATAAGCTTGATATATGGAAATATACTGGTGTACACACATAGGAGGTTTATGTACGTATGTACATAACTACACAGATACATATGTATATGCATGTACATAGGTATACATATATACGCTCATACCTACATGCATGCATCCATGCCTACCTACCTAACCTACCTAGCCTACCTAACCTACCTAATCTACCCAACCTACCTAACCTACCCAACCTACCTAACCTACCTAACCTACCTAACCTACCTAACCTACCTACCCTACCTACCCTACCTACCCTACCTACCCTACCCTACCTACCTAATCTACCTACCCTACCTACCCTACCTACCCTACCTACCCTACCTACCCTACCTACCCTACCTACCCTACCTACCCTACCTACCCTACCTAACCTACCTACCCTACCCTACCCTACCCTACCCTACCCTACCCTACCTACCTACCTGTTACATACCTACATACCTACATATCTACATACCTACCTACCTATATGCATGCATACATTCATGGATGCATCTATGCATAGATGCATGGATGCATAGATGCATGCATGTATGCATGCATGCATGCATACATACCTACATACCTGCATACCTACATACCTGCATACATAGATACATACATGCAATACAAATATGATTACAAATACAAATACATAATCAATACCAATACCAAAAATACCAATGCAATACAATTCAACAATACCTACATACGCTTTGCCAGGCCGAAACAGAGTCGTCCCAGAAGAATTTTCTTATGGTAGGATACGCCAGGATACGCTATGGTTCAGCACGGTACGCAGGTAGGGAGGTAATCTAATGTAGTCTATTGTCAGAGTCTATTGTAGTTCAATATAGTGTAGAGTAATGCACTCTACTGTAGTGCGGTGCAGTGCATTGTAAAGGTATGGTTTGGTTTGGTATGGCCGAGGATTGTATGGATATGTGTATGCGTATCATGCAGATGTGGGGATCATGGGTATATAGCCAACAAGCACGGGAATATGACCAAACATACTATTGGAACCTCAAGCCATACTTGAAGATATAGCCCATAGGTCAATCAGAACGAGGACCCGATCGTCCAAGTTGCACCTCGGTTCCCATTCATCTAGGGTCAGGAATATACCCGACTAAAGAACAAACAACTTATAGATTACAGTATTTTTATGCAGTCATGGTTCAAAACGTGCACAACAGTTTCTTTTGTTGTTGTTTCTTTTGTTCAGCTTGGGGAAGCGATGTTTTTACATTGGGCCCGCATAAGATTTATTGCACAGATGTTTTAGATGGCGTCAACATGCATCCTCTGCCTAGCTCTTGGAAGAAAGGTGCAGAAACAATTGGTGTTTAGCATTAACACCAAGTATCCATTCTTAGCCATTGACATCAGGTAACCATTAATATCCATTAACATCAAGTATCCATTGTCCACACTTTTGACCTTTTGGGCACCGAGCATTCCCTGCTGACACCGTCTCATCCACCGACAGACAGGACAAGGACAGCAATCGGATCATCCAGGATCATCCGAAACCAATGTGCCCCGAAACGTGATGTTTACCATGGTTTTTCGGCTAAAAAATATCATAATGTGGGTAAAACCATGGTAAAACAACAATAAACCATCCCCCAGTCATCACCATTTTTAAAGGTGGTATAAACTTACCATTCCCAGTCATGGGTGGTATTTGGCATTGTTTTCCCCACATTAGATATACCAATCTCATTAAAATCACCATTTTTGTTGGTTAAATCCATTAAACCACCATTTTTCCAAGTTCCATTCTGCCATGACACCGCAGGATCCGTCGGCACGTTGCTTCCGCGGAGTATCACGGACACCGGTGGGTTGGTGGAGAAGAGAGAATTTAATGGGATAAATGGCGGTTTCATGGGGTGATTAATAATGAATGGATATTAATGGATATTTATTGATACTTGATGTTAATGGATATGAATGGATACTTGATGTTAATGGATATTCATGGATACTTGATGTTAATGGATATTAATGGATACTTGATGTTAATGGATATGAATGGATACTTGATGTTAATGGATATTCATGGATACTTGATGTTAATGGATATTCATGGACCCTTGATATTAATGGATATTCATGGATACTTGATGTTAGCGGATATGAATGGATACTTGATGTTAATGGATATTAATGGATACTTGATGTTAATGGATATTAATGGATACTTGATGTCAATGGATATTCATGGATACTTGATGTTAATGGATATTCATGGATATTTGATGTTAATGGATATTAATGGATACTTGACGTTAATGTATATTCATGGATACCTGATGTCAATGGATATGAATGGATACTTGATGTTAATGGATATCAATGGATACTTGATGTTAGTGGATATGAATGGATACTTGATGTTAATGGATATTCATGGATACTTGATGTTAATGGAAATTCATGGATACTTGGTGTTAATGGATATTAATGGATACTTGATGTTAATGGATATGAATGGATACTTGATGTTACTGGATATTAATGGATACTTGATGTTAATGGATATTCATGGATACTTGATGTTAATGGATATTCATGGATACTTGATGTTAATGGATATTCATGGATACTTGGCGTTAATGGAATCTAATGGATACTTGATGTTAGCGGATATGAATGGATACTTGATGTTAATGGATATTAATGGATACTTGATGTTAATGGATATTAATGGATACTTGATGTTAATGGATATGAATGGATACTTGGTGTTCATGGATATTGATGGATACTTGATGTTAATGGATATGAATGGATACTTGATGTTAATGGATATGAATGGATACTTGATGTTAATGGATATTCATGGATACTTGATGTTAATGGATATGAATGGATACTTGGTGTTCATGGATATTGATGGATACTTGATGTTAATGGATATGAATGGATACTTGATGTTAATGGATATTAATGGATACTTGATGTTAATGGATATTAATGGATACTTGATGTCAATGGATATTCATGGATACTTGATGTTAATGGATATTCATGGATACTTGATGTTAATGGATATTAATGGATACTTGACGTTAATGGATTTTCATGGATACCTGATGTCAATGGATATGAATGGATACTTGATGTTAATGGATATCAATGGATACTTGATGTTAGTGGATATGAATGGATACGTGATGTTAATGGATATTAATGGATACTTGATGTTAGTGGATATGAATGGATATTAATGGATATTTGTTTGATTAAACAAGAAAATATCTGGATGTCCCAAATGGCCTTTTTGCAGATGGGTGACTTGGTAGAATTTATCCTGAATATATTGGGAGACGGTCGTCATTTCATTTTCACAGGGATAATAATGTGCCCATTGCGTTTGGATTCCCATTATTGACCATCAATAAACTGTGCAACATGAGAGATCATGCCGAAAAATATGCTAAGCAACAACCCAACCAACATGGTTTACAGCTTGTCATGTCTTCCCCAGGTCAGTAAAAACTTGCACCAGAAAGAAATGCGTACAATGCCTGACATCCTCGGTGGTCACTCCTTCGGACAAGGGGTGCCGGACTTGCCCAAGGACTGTTCGCAAGGACAGGGTGCCGGAGGACGTCATCCAACTTCCACGCGGCGGCTGGTACCATCCGAAATGCATCAAACCGTCCATCCGTGCCGCCAGGCCTAGATGCCGGCCATGGGCAGCCACCTTCGCACTGGTGCAGTGTTGACTATCCCCATTGACATGCCCGTGAAGTGATATCTTTCATCGACCATCAATTATAGCCCCTTATTTTGGATGGAACCTCTATGGTTTCAAGCCTCGGTGGAATCCCCATCAAAAAACTAAGTCCAATCAAACAAGTATCACATTAACTCTATATATCCCGTTGGTATCACAGATCTTGTCCAATAATGCCCTGTCCACTGATATTCCCATCTTCTTTGTTGCATCCCTACTATCTCCATCAATGTCTCAAGATCCACCATTCTATTGCCATTGCATCCATCCATTTTGAACTATCAACCAAAGATCATGTCTCAATATCCCCCTAACATCCGTCAATCATCAATCTATGTCCCAATGTTCGTTCAACATGTTCTCAGTATACACAGGGATGGTTCAACCCCGTTGATACCCACATTAAAGGTAAAAATCATCAATATATTCACGTTAGTATAGTATTATCTTTCCCATCTTATGCCAATCATATTATATCCTTTATACATGCCATTATTCCACATGCGTGCCCCAGTATATCCCCGATACATCCAATTATATTCCCATATTGTTGGTTATATCCTCTATATCACTATATCCTCGTTAGATTCCACTAACTTGTCACTAATCATCTATACATGATCAATTTATTCCCATTATATTAATTTCATTATATTGTCCCATTAAATTCCAATGATATTAACACACATGGTATAATGCCAATAGAATCCCAATATCATCCAAATAAAATCCAAACATAATCCCAATAATCCCAATAATGTTAACACACATGAGATAATTCCATTATAATCCCGATACAATCCCAGTATAATCCCAATAGTCCCATTATAATCCCAAGAATCCCCATATATAATACCCATAATTAATGATATCCCAACAACCATTATATTCCCAGTATATCCCAATATAATCCCACTTTCTATTCCCCCCATGACCCATTTTGCAGGACTCACGCTGGCTCCGCCTGGCTCGCCTGGCCGTTTCCCTGACGGCGGCGGCGCTGTGTCGGACACGTTTTCGGCGTTCAGAAACGATTCACCGTTGCTGCGGTGGTGAGTCAACCTGGACATGTCATGGGAATCCCACGGGAATCCCATGATATTCACAAAAAAAAATAATGAAAAATGATAGAATTACCCTCTGGTTATTTAACATAGCAATGGAAAATGGCCCATTTATAGATGGTTCACCTATTAAAAATCGTGATTTTCCATGGCTATGTTAAATAACCAGATGGTAAAGGAAAATAGGAGAGTACATATAATCTGGGTAAATTATAACGACCTCACTGTTCTCCCGAACCCTGGAATCATGGTTAATAAGGGGAATCATCCCCAAATGGCCTTAATTCAGATTAGTGAAATATATCCAATTCAGTTTATCCATATGGTTTTTTTGTTGAAAACGCATGGAAAAAGATTGAAAAATATTGAAAATATAAATGGAAATAGCATATGAAATAATGGGATATATCTAATAAGCATGGGGTATACTTGAATATCCACTCAATAAACATGCTGATATATCTCATGGAATCTTACATTGTGTATGTATGGGCAGCTTTACATCAAAAACTCGGTTGAAACAAAACCGCCCAAACAGATGCCGAAAAGTTGGAAAGATGGAGGAAACATCGAAAAAAAAAAACACCCTGGGTTTCCATGGTTTCAACATTTTTTTGAGGTTTCAATTAAAAAAGGACATGGATGTCCTTTTCCCATCGGTTGGTTGATTAATAGAGGGGTTTGAACAAACCCCTTTAACAACAGGTAAATGATTATAGATGGTATACCTGGGGGAAGGGAATGTACTGGACAAACATGGGGAGTGTCGTGGAATACAACTTGATATGCAGACTTTGACAAGAAAAGCTGCGGTTTGAAAACCAATCATCACGGGAAACTGAGGATATAGTCAGTGGGATAATATGTAGGAATATGTCATTTGAATAGGGAGTTAAGCGGTTGATTGGGTGTCAATTCCTGTGAATGTAGAGGGATCCTGGATTTGTTTTGTGACGGTTCGTAGGAATTTTACCCCAGAAAAAAACAAACATGGGTCTGTTACCAGTGGTAAACCCAATGCCATAAGCCTACTATTTGGGAATGATGTACCCTCTGGTAATTTGTTACATAGCTATTGAAAATGGTTTTTTATAGTTGATTTACCTATTAAAAATGGTGATTTTCCATAGTTTTTTGTATGTTTACCAGAGGGTATACCACCCATCTATGGTGAGGGGATGGTTTATGGCAGGTGTATCACATTGGATTGAGCCAAGAGAAATGGTGATCGACAAAAAAAATTGCTAAATCTTGGTGAAATAGGGAAGGTTCAGGAAAATTTCACCAGAAATGATACACACGGGCCTTTTTCTAGACTGGTATAAGTTTCAAAGCTGGGAAGCTTCCGGAAAAAAACGACCAAGAGAGTCATGATACACACGGGCATAAGTTTCGGAAGCTCGACGGGTAAAGAGGTTTCGCTGGGATTCAACCAACAGAAATGAACCCTTTGGTTATGACTCACAGTGAGCGAACTGGAAAATCACCATGTTTAAGTTCGGTAAACCATCTATTTCTATGGGTCATTTTCCAAGGCGAACTGTTAGTCATAACCAGAGGGTAAAAGAACTGTCCTGAAAAAAAATGAGTTGTTCAAGCAACTCAAATGGCAATCTAAGCTATACATGTGATGGACAGCAATTGATTTCATCAAGGGATTATGTTGAGCCATGGATTTATGGAGCCAATGTCCTGTCCTGATTGGGTTAGAGTTTACAGCAGGGTAATGTCAACCCCAGCTATTTTTTGGGCCAGGCTTTTTAATTTGAGGGGTACCATTTTAGTATCAGATGTTTACCCTCGATTTATCAACCAGGGTTTATGAATCCAGGGTTAGTCTTACTTAGGATTGACCATGGGTTTGTGTGGAGAGTGCAGGAAGGTAAATTATAGCCACAAGCAGAGAAATGTGGTAAGTTTATCTCTTTATCCAGCAATTGTTTCCTACAAAAAAGTCTTTCGCGTGTTAGGAGCAACCCAATATTTGGGGCTACCCCCGGTGTTTCCTGTAGGTTTTCCGATACACTCCATCAACCCCTCTCGGCCCGAGCCCGGCCCGGGTGGCCCCGGTGCTCCGCCGGCCAAATGAAGTTGCGAGGTGCAGCTGGGACGATGGGCTGATTGGGACCGGGTTGGAAAAACCCACCTGGCTGGGTGCTGGCTGATGTGACTTTCTCAGCAAATCCAGGCGGAGATTGGTTACCAACACGTGGAGAACATCAGGGTATACTGCCAAGGATCTGAGATACACTGGGGATACAGTCCGAGCGCTGGTGAAGAATCCGAAAGCTTGAGGTCCAGGGTCCCTCAAATTCTTATTTTTAAATACAGGCAAATTTACACTACAACAGGCCGAGGGTCCCTCAAATTCTTAAGGCATTCTTAGTATTGTATTGCAGGCATCTGCACAATTTGGAGCAAGATTAAACAAGGTAACGAGGTGGAGTTGGCAGATTTGACTATTCATGCGAAAATATGTCTTCAAAATCGAGCTACAGCACGATTTTGCGTTCTACCAGGGTTTTGGCCGCGCTGGGCTCTGTCGTGGCCGGACTAAAGTTCCGCCGCACCCGCGCGAAGGCTCGATTCTCCCCCGGCTCGCCCTTCACAGGCTTGGGCTTGGCGGTTTTTTTGCTTGAAGGAAGCGAGTCCTCACACAGTCCGTGTAGCAAGTCACGCTCGTGGTCATGCTTGGCATTCGTTTTACTATTTGATATTTTCTATTCTTGCAATGCGCTTGCCAAGCAGATTTGACAAGAGGCATGCGAAAATATGATTTTGTAGATCCTGGAAAAAAGAAAGCTTTTTTTTGCCAGGCCAGGCTTGTCTGAGTTTCGTGCGGTTAGTGCGCAAAAAAGAACGTTTTGGTCTCCATTACAAGGGCTCACGCCTAAAAAAATAAACGCAAAAAGGAGAATTTCAAACCTCGCGTATAAGCAATAATTTAAGAATTTGGCAGTCCTATTCCAGGGTCCCTCAAATTCTTAACGTGCTATGTGTTTGGTATAGCTGAAAATTTGTAGCCCGCCTTGGAATCGAGCCCCTCAAATTCTTATACAGTGAATTCTTGTACAATACTCAAGCTGTATTTCATGGGATTTCTGGATAAAATACAACGACCTCACGATATCAGCAAGTGAGTCTTGTGTTGGCCATTTCCTGGATATCGGATCCCCTGATTGGGTCATCCTACCTTCGTTTGGGTCATCCTGGATTCGCCAGGATGGCTGCTATGGCAAGTGTCGCTTGACTCCGTGATTTCTGGATCAGCCTGGGATGGTTTTAGAGTGGAAAATCCTGTGTAAAAATTGATGATGCAACGGGCGTACCCCCATGGATTGGAAACGTCCAAATGGCAATGTGCTATGTATAAACTGTGGATGTTCTTTGCGGGGTAAGATTGGCAAAGTCCGAGCTCCATGCCGTTGGATGCCATTGGTACAAAACCCATCGCAATATTTGCTAGCTGAGAACATGCCTATACTGTTTGGGGTACTCAATGCTTAACAGGTGCTTGGCAGAAATGCTGGAGATTTGATGAGGTCAGCTCCCAAACCCCCCCATGGTCCAAGTGTTCTTTGACCTTGCATTGATTTCACCACAGTTCAGTGATTGAAATGCGACACCAAGGTGCTTTGCCGCACTGGCTGCAGCTTGATGGCAGCTGGAGTGACAAGAATCACACGCGGGGGGGGGATGTGGGTCAAACATTTTGGGTGTAATTGCCAACCAGGGGTGCCGTTTTTTGATGACACCTGCTGACCTACATTCCATGTCAGCCATGGGGTAAGCACAGCAAGATTTCAATTCGACAGACAATTCCACACTTGAGCCATTTAAGAATACCCCTGCTGATGGGCTAAAAACGATGATTAGACCAACACACAATAGGGAACCTATTCCCCAACCAGTTTTTCATGTGATGGGGCCCAGTGGTACGTTTGATGGCTGAATTTCGCATTAGCAACAGTTAGCAACAGTATTCTCCCAGTTGTTTGTGAAATATCCATCTTTGATTGTCATGATGAAATGTCCACACGTAGACCAGGAATCTCGCTGCTAGAAACTCCCATGTTTCCAAGAATAGCACCCCACAAAGCCAAACCCGCAATGAGTTTTCACATATCCATGCGATTCATCCAAAGGGTCCTTAATCCATGATACCAACATTTGATCTGGTTGGTGGTTTGGAACATGTTTTTTCCATATATTGATGGTTGAAACCAGCAACCAGTTGATGTTTTTTTCGGATTTCGGTGGTCTCCAGAATGCCAAGATTTTGGGATCAGTTATTCCCAATTTTTTTTCGGCCACCCAAAGGGGGAATGTCGCACCAAAAAGGTGGAGGCTGCCCAACTGCAGTCGAATCCAGCTACTCGGCGATGGGGGTGGTATCATTTAAGTATCAGATTATTGGGGAAGTACTAAATCCTAATAAACTAAAGTTTATTTATCCGGGCTTGACATTAACTATCAAAATATAGCGGCAAAATAGCTCCGCGGATTTTTTTGGGCGATAATTGGGATGGTAATGGATCGGCTAAGTATCATGGTGGTGGCCCAAAGGTGGGTACAACTGGGGGGGCACCACATTGCAATGGTACCCCCCCCATGTGCTTGAATAAGGCCGTAATAACTTTCTGGTGCTAAACGCAGGGAATGTTCGGGAATGATCCACTGGCTAACTATCAATAATCATCCCAGGAACCCACAGCAACCCATCCATTCCCTACCTAAAACGTACCAGTAAGATAACTATGGTATAACAATCCCTATATTACTATAATACTAGATTATCCTACTATAATAATCTAACATAGTATATATACATATCATCCATTTATAGATGGTATCCGCTGGTCATCAATCTGGCTCATTCTGGGTTTCTTTGTGACCATTGGTTGATGACTTGCCCTGCTAGGAGAATGTATCGAAATGCTCCCAAAAAAAGGGTGGTCCCAAGAAAAAGAAGTTTCTCCAGGATGTTAGTTCGATGATGTTTCCCCGTGATTTCAATCTTTCCAACTCTTCTATCTATTTGGCGGTTGCTACAACTGATTGTAATTGTAGAGAAACATTCATGGGCCCACCAAGCTTGCCGTTCAACTCATCTCTAGCCCATTCCAGCCTTTCTGCATTGTAATAGTTAAGCAGTCACCATTTGCAAGTCCCTTAAAACCTCTGAATGTCACCGGGGTTTATCCCATATTATGGTTTTATGTCGAAACCATTCAAAACTCTGGTACGTTAACATCAAAATAGCTGGTATGTGGATGTTCATCCATGTTCACCTCAATAAAAATGATATCGTCATAGGTTTCATCCCCAAAATAGATATGATATCGTCTGGTTTAGCATGTTTTTTCCCATCCCCTTTCTTGGAACTTGGAACTGGTGCAACCCGGGTAAGACGCCAGGTGAGCCGCTGGCTCTTTGGGTCAAGTTGTTCACCCAGCTGCCGCTTGGCGGAATGAACAATTTCGGGTCATCCGAGGTCTCGATTTGGTGTATAGTAATTAGTCCAAGATAATAACTGTTGGGATATATGATAATTGGATATAAAATCTTGGGAGGTTTGATGCTGTGTCGCCGAGGAGCCATACTCGATGCTAGAAAACGCAGGTTGAGCCCAGTGATTTGGGTTACTGTACAAGAAAGGTTCTTAGTGGCGAAATACCATAGGAAAATGGTGAGTGGAATTTGATGTTGATAAAACAAGGTAGGCGGTTGATACGGCGCCCTGTGAGGGGTTGCCGATTTTAATTTTAAGATTTTCACGTCAAAAGCTGGAAGCGTGGTATTTGTGGGTCTTTGTAAAAGGACATTTCAAAGTCATGATCATTTTTCGATGGCAGGCGCATGACTCCAAAGTGGAAATTGGTGTTTCTCCTCAACGAAATACTAATTTTAGTCATCAGGGGCGAGAAAAAAAACATTTGATTTTTGAGGTTTTCATTTGGTGTGATTTGAAAATGTGCGTTTCGCCTCAACGAAACGCTCATTTTTGACATCCGGATGTCCAAACAAAAATGGAAACAAATCCGGGTTTTTTTGGAGTCTGTATAATGTGAACAACTTGCGGACAGCATCTTTTTCACTCAACGCCACAAGGTGTCGCTCAAAGTCTTTAAATTCAGCATGTTTTCACACTTGGCGTTGTGTCTCCACATATAGGAGTACGCACATTTGAACCTCATTGGATTCACGCCTGACACATGGAAGAAGTGTTGTACATGACGTTAGCATGCCCCACCCCACACCAGTGCAACGTGCAGACGTGTTAGCAACGTGGTCAGCGTAGCAGTACATGTGCAACGCAAGTGCACATGGACGTAGCGTAGCGTGGCGTGTTACATGTTACGCAAGCGTACATGACGTTAGCATGCCCCACCCCACCCCACCCCCGTGCAACGTGCAGACGTGTTAGCAACGTGGTCAGCATAGCAGTACATGTGCGACGCAAGTGCACATGGACGTAGCGTAGCGTGGCGTGTTACATGTTACGCAAGCGTACATGACGTTAGCATGCCCCACCCCACCCCACCCCACCCCCGTGCAGCCGGTTGATACGACGCCTAAAACATTGTACATACGAAAAATATGGGGATATCCAAATTCAACACACCCTCACAGGGCGCCGTATCAACCGCCTGCCTAAAACAACAATAAACCATCCCCGAAATCACTTGAAAAATGGGTTTTATAAATTATCAAAATTGTTTGGTGGTTGATGACATTGTTTTACTAACATTGTAGCTGATGTATATAGCTGGCCCACAGACAGTTGTTCATGATACACATTTTCCACCTAAGTTTGACAGATGTGCTTTGACATGGTGTGTCCATAAGAGGCCTCGAAATTGGCCTGGGAAGTGGCACACAGGTGTGCTGCTGCCTGAGGATCATGAGATGGTGCACAAAATGTCTATCCCATAAGTAGATCAAATTCGACAACTGATCAACTGATCAACTCGGGATAAGCTGGATAGATTGACTTAGATATCTGAATTATCTGATTTACACTCAAACGTAATCCTCACAGTGCATGGTCTGCGTGACGAACGCAGGCGTGTAAGATGTATTGGTCTTTTTGAGTACGGCAAACTTCCAAAAGATCCATAAAGTTGTAAACCCAGACCATTTATTCAAGGTGAATTAGGTGTCTGCATAGCCTCTTGGGGGTTACTTTTCTGACCCAGGGAGCTCAAGAGAGTTTCACCCAGACCCGTCGGTAAACTGGGTATCCCTGCTGCCATAGAGGATTTACCCAAACGGCCATCACATGGCAAAAAATATTGTGATTTCAACCTTATATCAATACAGATAAATCTCACAATTCCATCCTCCATATGATGGCCTACCCATTGGGCGGTGTACTGCATCCCCATGTGTCAGTTGCGCAAGTTTTGGAGGTCACCTGGCCCCATGTGAAATCCGAGTGGAAGGACTGGTTGATGAAACGCAATGGTGATGTTTGGGGTTTGCCATACTGGTTGGTGGTTTCAAACATGACTTATTTTCCATAGTATATGGGATAATTCTTCCCATTGACTAATATTTTTCAAGATGGTTAAAACCACTAACCAGCATATGTTTGGAACCCAGGAGCTTTTGGAGTCATTTGTACCTGGAGGTTTTTTCAAATTGCCTCGTTGTGGCTCTGTGACTAGAACTGACATAGCTCCAAACTAATCCTGACTTGACTCATAATTGGTACCCCCTTGCATCATCCATTTGGGGGTACCCCCATTTATGGAAACCTCCAATTATTCAACAATTTTCATTGATTCTCTTCCCGATACTGGCTGGTACAGCTGCAGTTGAATTTGGGGAGGCCCCTGGATTCAGGATATAACAACCATGAATCATGAATCCTAAACGGTCATATCCCCCCATGTTTGGGTAAATGATTAGTCCTAAAATGATTGTAAAATGCTGTAAAACAATCAATTAGGTGCTCCTTTTTACCAAGCAACCATTATTGTCAATGAATGATATTCTCCATGTGATCCATGAAGCCGGTAACCATATTTGTTGAATTGTATCCCAACTATATCAAAATTTATCCCTGTGATATGCCAATGATATCCCCATAGTCCCATAGTTAATCATCAATAGCAGTCCCATACCCTCTGGTAATTTAACATAGCTATTGAAAAATGACCATTTATAGTTGATTTACCTATTGAAAATGGTGATTTTCCATAGCTATGTTAAATTACTAGAGGGTATATTGATGGTCAAAACCTGATGTTCAAAACCCCTTGGATGTGCATCGCACATATTGAGTATTTACCATACTATAATCCAGCTATGTATTGGATATACCCCAGTTATGTGTGGCTTATCAACCATTGGCTACTTGGGACGCACCCCCAAATATAACGGACCCTGAAATCTTCCATTTTATCCCCTAGTATATCCCATTATATCCCAATACATCCCTAGTATATCCCATTATATCCCAATACGTCCCTAGTATATCCCCAGTATATCCCAATATATCCCTAATATATCCCATTATATCCCAATACATCCCTAGTATGTCCCTGGTACATCCCAATATATCCCTAATATATCCCATTATATCCCAATATATCCCTAATATATCCCAATATATCCCGAGTATATCCCATTATATCCCAGTATATCCCTAGTATATCCCAATATATCCCAAGTATGTCCCTAGTATATCCCATTATATCCCAATATATACCCCTACTAGTATATCCCAATATATCCCTCGTATATCCCGTTATATCCCAATATATACCCCTAGTATATCCCTAGTATATCCCTATATATCCCTAATATACCCCATTATATCCCATTGTAGTAAAAAAAATGTTGGTGTTCCTCGGTTTTGAGCCCCATTGATGCCGCTCTTTCCTGCTCCAAGGCCGTAGCCCTCAGGGCAGTTGCGTCAATGGACGCTGCCAATGCCGTGAAGGCTTTGGTGGTGAGAGCTGCGAAACGCCAATGGCCCAGGCGGCTCCGCAAACCGCTTGATTTAACCATGAAAAATTGGGACTTAACTAACAAAAATGGTGACTTAACCCACAAACAGCCCCCCGGAAACCATGGGTTAGTGGGTACTTGTGGGTGGTGATCAACCCCATAAGTCGGGAGATGGGGCCCCTGTAACTATGGTTATAATTCCATGTATAATGGGAACTGCATTTCCATATAGTAGATGGCTACTCTAGTACCACTTCATCTTTTGCCTGGGTCAAACATTTTGAGACCATTTCCAAACACATTTGTTGGTTTCTCAATGGGAAATCCACTACTTGGGGTATAGGGAATCGGTGTTTTTTTTCGAGGCTTCAGCAAATCCAAGTCTAGCAATGGCTCCAAAAACGATGAAATGATTATTTTTTAGGGGATTCACCAACACGAATATAAACTTATTTGGATCTTTTTTGGGATACTAATGGGATAATGGGGAACATTATGATTTCAGAATGGTGATTTTTATCCCTTCCCCATATCAAACACACCCCAGAAACCATGGTGCCAGTGCAAGCGGACGAGACCGCATATTGCTTCTTCAATATGAACGGGGGATGGGATTACATCTGCATCTTTATACATGGAGATGCATCAACATGTATCAAGCCAACCAGCTCGACATTTTGATTTTTTTCAGCTGGAAAGTTCCTAGTTTCTCGGCCATGAAACCACAGCTCGTCCCATGAATTTTGGGTTTATGCCCAGTTTGTGAATGTTCACCTGGGATCATTCACCCACATTAATAACTAGCCATGGAAAACACAGAATGTTAATATATTTTAATACATAATCATCTATAAATTGTCCATTTCCCATAGCAAACTCTTACATTGCCAGGAGGGTATTCGAATTATCCACTATTCATCGATAGCTTTATCTGTGATTTTCACCGATTTAACCGCGTTCACTATTCTTAACCAGTGATTTCACCATTATTCACCATGGGTTATCACTTAGTATAACCATTATTATTCACTAGTTGTTCACCATTATTCTTATTAACCGGTATTATTTTCGCTTCATCATTTAAACAGTGATTGGGGTAGCTGATTTTAAGCCACGAAAAGCGCCGCCAACTCCCCAGGCCACAGTGCCACAGGCGCTCAGCGCATTGGAACAGGCCCGAGCGAAGACGGAGGCGGCCGTGGCGAGGGGCGGCCGGATGGATCAATGATGGCCATTTCAGGAACCGATTGATTGGAGGTACCTACCATATATAAGGCCGATTTTTTAGGCCTAAATTTCAGGGAATCTCCCCACAATTCATATGGCCAAACATATGGTACGTTTACGTGCCTGGATTTTAGGATCCTTGTTTATTCCCATTGAAATGATGAGGTATGAAACATCGTGATTTTGTGGCGTGGATACTTCTGGACTCTGGGCTTCCCCGAAGATTCAGCAAGTACTTACATGTTTCAGTCAGAATCGTGATTTTACCGTTACTTTTAAGGGCCTTAACATAAGATAACCATCAGAAGGGATTGAACAATCAAATATGAGGAGGCTTATCATTCATAGGTAAAGATTGATATGGTAAATCCGCCGTAGGCCTTGGCTTCGGCGCTCAGCCCGTTGAGCCCTCTGGACCTGGCTGCACAGCGCGCCCAGCGCATTGCGCAGGCCGCAGACCTGCGACAGGACGGAGGTGGGTGGGAGGAGGTTCCCATGGAAAAACGGAACGGGGTTCTGATTTTGATATTTTGATGGTTGATGATCATGGTTTATTGATATTGATGGTTGATTAAGTTGATTTAATAATGGTTTATGATGACTTATCATGGTTCCCTTTCTGGTGTTTATTTTATGGTGAATATTGATGGTTGATGATAATTGTTGATACTGGTTCTTCTCATGGTGAATGTTTTATGATGTTTATTGGAAACTATATCATGATATTTCTGGAGGATTTATAATCACTATATATGGTGATATTGATGGTTGATCAAGTTGATTTAATGATGACTTATCACGGTTCCCTTTTCTGATGTTTATTATATGGTGAATATTGATGGTTGATGATAATGGTTGATACTGGTTTTTCTCATGGCGAATGTTTTTGATGTTTATTGGAAACTATATCATGATATCTATGGAGAAATTATGATCACTATATATGGTGATATTGATGGTTGATGAAGTTGATTTAATAATGGTTTGTGATGATTTATCATGGTTCCCTTTCTGATGTTTATTATATGGTGAATATTGATGGTTGATGATAATGGTTGATACTAGTTCTTCTCATGGTGAATGTTTTATGATGTTTATTGGAAACTATATCATGATATTTATGGAGGAATTATGATCACTCTTTATGGTGATATTGATGGTTGGTCAAGTTGATTTAAAAATGGTTTATGATGACTTATCACGGTTTTTTCTCATGGTTAATGCTTATCATGGTTTACATATGATGACTAAATGTGTATATATATATATATGTGGATTTCCAAATGGAAGAATGGATGGTATATAATGTGTTTTTTATGGTTTTGGAATTGTTTTTTATGATGGTTTTGATATGTGTTTTCAAAATGTGTTTAATGAAGGTTTATAGGATGTTTTTTAATGGTTTTATAATGATTTTTTGAAGGTTTATATGAGAGTTTTGATATATGGTGTTTTGATCGTTTTTAGAAGGTTTATACGATTGTTTTTATTTGGTGTTACATTGGATTTATGAAGGTTTATGTGGTGGTTTTTATATGGCGTTAAACTGGTTTTATGGAGGTTTATGGATTGATTTTATATGGTCTTATAATGGTTCTATGAAGGTTTATATGATGGTTTTCATATGGTTCTTTATGGTCTTATGAAGATTTATATTATTCCCCACCTGCCGGGTGAGGGTTGTTAGATTTTATCAGAGCTGTTGTCCTCCTCCTCCTCCTCGTCCTCCTCCTCCTCCTCCGCCTCCGCCTTTCTCCAGTGTGCACTGCTGGACCTCAACCTGAGACCCCAGCTCAGTGTGCACCGCTGGACCTCAACCTGGGACCTTCCCAGCTCAGTGTGCACCGCTGGACCTCAACCTGGGACCTTCCCAGCTCAGTGTGCACCGGACCTCAACCTGGGACCTTCCCAGCTCAGTGTGCACCGGACCTCAACCTGGGACCTTCCCAGCTCAGTGTGCACCGCTGGACCTCAACCTGGGACCTGCCCAGCTCAGTGTGCACCGCTGGACCTCAACCTGGGACCTGCCCAGCTCAGTGTGCACCGCTGGACCTCAACGGCCAGATAGAATGCCAGAAGATATGCCAGATAGAAAGCTATAAGATATGCCAGATAGAATGCCAGAAGATATGCCAGATAGAATGCCAGAAGATATGCCACAGATAGAATGCCAGAAGGTATGCCAGATAGAATGCCAGATAAAATGTCAGATAGAATGCCAGAAGATATGCCAGATAAAGTGCCAGAATGTTTGCCAGATAGAATGCCAGAAGATATGCCAGGTAGAATGCCAGATAGAATGCCGGAAGATATGCCAGGTAGAATGCCAGAAGATATGCCAGAGAGAATGCCAGATAGAATGCCAGAAGGTATGCCAGATAAAGTGCCAGAATGTTTGCCAGATAGAATGCCAGAAGATATGCCAGATAGAATGCCAGAAGATATGCCAGAAGATATGCCAGGTAGAATGCCAGAAGATATCGAGTCTTCAAAGCTTGGCCTTAGGTTCGACCCTAAGCTTGAGCTTTGGCCTTAGTTTCAACCAAAGACTGGAGCAGTTGACCTTGCCATCGTGTTTTTAAAGTTTGAATTTTGACTATAATTTCAACCCAAACCTGGACCCGTTGACATTGCCATCGAGTTCTCAAAGTTTGAGGTTTTGCTTCTAGGCGTGAGTTTTGGCCTCAATTTCAATCAAAACCTGGAACAGTTGACCCTGTCATCGAGTTTTTTAAACTTGAGTTTTGACCATAATTTCAACCAAAACCTGGAGTGGGTGACATGGAGTCTTCAAAGCTTGGCCTTAGGTTCGACCAAAACCTGGAGCGGGTGACCCTGTCATCGAGACTTCTAAGCTTGAGTTTTGTCCTTACTTTCAACCAAAGACTGGAGCAGTTGACCTTGCCATCGTGCTTTTAAAGTTTGAATTTTGACCATAATTTAAACCAAAACCTGGACAAGTTGACATTGCCATCGAGTCCTCAAAGTTGGAGGTTTGGCTTCTAGGTGTGAGTTTTGGCTTCGATTTCAATCAAAACCTGGAGCAGTTGACCTTGCCACCGATTTTTTTTTAAACTTGAGTTTTGACAGTAATTTCAACCAAAACCTGAGGTGGCTGACCTTGTTGCAGTTTCAAGCCACGGAGTTTTGGGCATCAAATAGTCCCCGAATCGCTTCCAAATGACCCACGATAGGCCCTTGTTTGTATCTTTGACTATCAATATATTTATCCCCGTTTGGGGCCCCTGGCTGAAAACGGTGAGCTGGAGCTTCAAAATTTAGCCCCATTTTAGCCAAATTTAGCCCTAATAATGTTGGGCCTCCGCTTTTTATCCTTTGGTCCCGTTTTACATATTTTAGAATTTTGATTCTAAATTCACCATGCAGCCAAAGGTTTTCGTCCAAGAGAGCACCTCTCGACAGCATTTTTGCAATAGGTTGGGTGCAGGTAGTTTCAACCACTGAAGCTTACTGAGAACCATTTTTGACCTGAAGGTTGCACACAGGTTTTCATTCGACCGTGTCTTCTTGCAAGGCCCGACATTTTTGACGCCTATACGGTGAACATTGAAATTCTGAGAGGTGTATCTTGGGAGGTGAGTCATTGGTCGTTTATGTTGTATCTTGGGACGTTGGTACAGGATGGGTTGGCTCATATGCGTGGTGTAACATGGCAATCTGTTCCGGTAAAGTTCAAAACAGGGATGTGTGAGATGAAAAAGTTCGGATCTGAAGTTTGTAGTGTGTTTTGGGACGTTGGTTCAGGATGGGTTGGCACACATGCGTAGTGTAATATGGAGAGCTGCTCCGGCAAGGTTCAAAAGAGCGATGTGTGAGATGAAAATCTTGGGATCTGAGGTTTTGTGGTGTGTCTTTGGAACGTCGGTTGAGCATGGGTTGGCTCACGTGCGCGGTGTCATCTCTTCCGATTTGTTCAGCCAAAGTTCGAAACAGGGATGTGTGAGATAAAAAAATCTTGACAAGGGCTTTGCCTGTATCCGTAGCCTTTGAGTGTTCAAACTCTTCGAGCTGAAATCGAGTAGCTCTGAGATACCAGGAATTCTATGAGTGTTTGTCTCAGCTTCACCACCAATCGAAAGGGGATCCCCGATGGTTCACAGCCTATCTTCTGAGGTGGAAGTATAATGCTTCGGAAAATGCGGTCGCAGCTGCTTTTGAAAGCAGACTCACGGCGAAGCAGCGAATTCCTTGGGCTAGTGCCGGTCCCGCACCTGCTGACGGCTCAGGCTCCAGAAGTGGAAGAAAGCTGATCAGAAGGGGAAGCGTTGGGACGCCCAGTGCCCCCCTGCTTAGCACATGTCGTCCGATTTCTTCTGGCTGAGATCGGCTGATGGCCGTTTGGCCCTGGGCAGAAAAGCTGCGGGCACAGGTGGAGGAGGCGGGCACATGAACACACGAGGCGGAGACCGTCCTCATGGAAGGACAAGAATTTGCATGGCAGCGCTGCAACTCTTGGCGCTGGAACGGTGACGCGCTCCTCGCCGCACAGAAATGACATTTTTTTGATGTTTATTGGAAACTATATCATGTGTATGGATGATTTATAATTACTATATGGTTTTTATTTTTATGGCTTTACAATGGTTTCTAAATGTTTATCATGGTTTATGTGATGGTCTATGATGAGTAGATGTGTAGTCACCCTGGTGCCCTGTCGAATCCCAACAAGTTTGGCATAATCGGCTTTGATCCAACCCCTGTTTTTGGTTTCATGGTTTCTAAATGGTTATCATGGATCTTGTGTAATGACTAAATGTATTTATTTACACACATATATATAATACACTATATATATATATGTATATAAATATGTGTATACATATGTATACAAATATTTGTAGACATATATATATATATATGCGTATATTCACATTTTTTACATATTTGTATATATATATATACACATTTATATTTTTATATTTGTATATAAACATAGTGTTTAAACATATTTTTGTATGTATACATATACATGTACATCTTCATATACATATTCATATATATATATATTGATATTTGTTTATTCATGTATATTTTCTAAAATGTATGTGTATATATATATATGTATAAGTATATGCATATATGTGTGTGTGGTAGTGCGTCGTGGTTTTGTCTAGAAAAAGTGCACCCGCAAAACTTGAGGATTGACAATCCTTTTCCCATTTAAAAACAACACAAAAAGTTGGAATAAATATCTAAGAACGTTGTTCCCTTCCACCGTTGAGATTCTTGAGGAGCCAGAGATCGTTCCGCAGATTGGCCGCAAATTTGTGCTGAAGGAGGCTATGAAGGTGGCTGTGGGCTCTCCAGTCAACCTGGGAAGGTGGTGGCCAATATGGAATGGGATCATGGGATAATGACAATAGGCTAAGTGGGGTTAAGAAGTAGTTTTGCAAGTGATTTAAGTCAATCCAGTTACATAAATTACTAGTTTTGATAGATCCATTGAATGGGTTATGACATAAATCTATGTTGCTAGTTTTGAAATATGGATTCAATCCAGTTATTGGTGTCATGACCCATTCAATCCATATTTCGCGCCAGGCCTCCCATGCAGCACTCTCCAAGGTGGCGCTGACCGAGGCCACACATTGGGAG